CTGAACCCAGCTCACAAAAAAAAGAAAAAAAATCAACATATTTATATAACCAATTTAATTTAAAATAAGTGGATAATAGCTTGGATGTCACTCATGAAGAAAGTATTTTCTTAGCATTATGTTCTGTTTGCTTATAAAGCAGGATGTAGTATCTAAGAGCCCAGTAAATCACAAAAACGTAAGTTTACACTGAAGCACATGGATGTTGCCCCTGCAGTCAGTTACTCATGTGCTTCGGCACTTCGTAAATTGGGGCTCAAGGGTTGCCCTGATATTTTAGCAGTAAATATTTGATCCCACCATTGACTTTGCCCTGTGTCCCCATGTAAAACATCACTGACATCAACAGCGTTCCACAGAAGTGAACACTATCCCACATGTACAACATGGTGAAGGGTAAGGTCTAAGGGTTTGTATACATTACACTCCAGCAAGATGATTCTGGAGCACAGGCTAAAATGTTGTAAGAGTTTATAGCACTTCAAGTTTTTGTTTTTAAATCTGGTGATTATTTATAATCATAATAGGCATCAACAAAGGGAGGAGAAAAATATCAGGTGAGACCAAGTATGGTGAGCTACCCTATATTGGTAAAAACCCCTGAAATAAGCTACAAATAACAATAATGATTTATGCTGACACAAGTTCATTACTAGGGACCCCTCTCCTGAAACTGCTCCATGATCAACTTCAATAATAGTTCATGTGGGTACAGAGGTCTGCCAGCCTGCAGTAGCTCACAAAATAAGGACCTAAACCAAAACACAGATAAATGAACAACTACACAGAATGGATTTCTTACCTGTTTGATTCCTCTATGGCATAAGGAAAATGGTGCAGGGTGCACAAGGGGAGGCATGACAATGGAGCGTCATGATCCCAATGTGTTATCACAGCTAATGTCCAAGACTGAGGCCCCAAATTTCCAGCAAAATGTTAGTAACACAGAAATTATCTTTAAAATGTATTCCTTGTTGTTTGTTATTAGTATTTGGCAGTTCTAGAATGGATTCACATCTGAAGATATTAAAGCACACATAACTGTAGACTCTGGCATTATGGCAATAGATACTAATCCATTCTGAAAATACAGTGTGAATGTCTTTGTTAACAATTTTCTTTAGTTTTCTCTCCCTTGATGTTACCCTAGCAGTAAACATAGCCATTAAACAAAGGAAGAGAAAAAGGAACAATTTGGAAGGAAACATACCACAACAAAATGCATACAGTTTGGCTGAGATGCATAAAATCTTACACAAAGTAGGTATTAAAAGTCTGCCCAAATGAATTCAAAACAAAACTATCCAGTTTCCAAATGACAGAAGCCCCATAACAGTAGCACACATTTGTTTTAATTATTATAAAAAAGGTTCTTTACTTCTGAGCCTGCATATTAAAAAGAACGGTTTTAATTTAATCTAGTGCTGAAAACTTCTATGCAAGTTTCATCCTGGAGCACCACTTTAAAGACTGAGTTATAAAAATGTGAAATTAGGAGTTTAAAGGAAAGGCTAGAAACCCCCGAACTAACACAGTACTAACACCTTAGCATGATGCTATGGTCATTAGGTTAGGTGTTACAGGTTAGGTGACTACAACAGGAATTGTTTTGTACTAAACAGTAACCATAGTCATTCTGCACAAATAGCCAGAGGAAACCATAAAACGCCTGTCTACAGGTCTGAGTTTATAGGAAATAAGAGCACCCAGAATTGGGGCCTGTACCATCATCAATGCGCTCTAGACAGCCTTTGGGACAACCCCACACACCTACACACAAAGTTCTTTCAAAAAACTCAGTGTGCGTGTCAGAGTGAAATACCCATTCTTTTAAAAAATGATCCCACGCTCAATATCTATTTCAACATAATTTCTGCTAATGGACACAATGAATGGTTACTTTCTGTCTGGAATTATAGAATAGTTTTCCTTGTTTCTTCTACATGACTGTAAACTCTGTATAAAAACCATAGGAGCTTTCAACCTATTTATGACTCGAGTTCTAAATCTTTTAGAAGATGGCAGGGCCACTGAAAAAATGCCAGTTCACCTAGCACCTCATAGACAGTTGTCACTCAAGTGCATATTACCTTGCAAACTTTGCTAATTAACGCATTATCCAGAAGGCAAAACACAGTTTTTAGACAGGTTTATGACGTGAGCTTGGTGGGACTGGCAGTTGTTGATCAGTAATGGAAGCATGCTGCCTTGTTTGGTAAAAGGCAATGATCATTCAGGTTTTTTTAAGCAACCTTAACTTGTTTTAAAAAACGATCAAAAGTAAACAACCATTCTGTTATTTTGCCTTTCTTCAGAAGATGCATCACATAAACAAACTTCATGTTTGTGAAGCAAGTATCATATCAACTGAAGTTCACCTAAAATACTAATTCCAGTATCATAACCTAAAAGGTGCAAATACAATGCAACCCTCTATGTTCCTGCTACGTTAGTAAATTTTATCCTCTGTTACCAAAATTCATATTTGCAGTCATATTTGCAAAAGGCAACATTTTAAACACAGTAAAGCTGACAGTACAGTTACTTATTTTAGCATGTAGTTTGTGGATCATATTGTAAAAGGAAATACATTACTACCCTTGAGGAACAAAGAGTATATGCCTTTGGGGCCCTAGCCTGCATTTCCAAAATGAAGTTGGGGCAGTTTTACATTACAGCAGGCCAGAGACTTATGTCCTGATCTAATGATCTAATCCTTAACTAGGAAAATCAAAGGGAGCTAAATCACTGACCTGACTAAATGTAAGCATCAGGCTCTGAAAGTGTGCTGAATTAGTACCTCACTATAGAAAGCATTCAGAGAAAAAACCCTCGACACAGTTTTGATAATTTGATAATTTTTCAGTCTAAGACATCTTTTCTCTACTAAGAATCTCAAAGGACTTTTCATGTATTAATTAAGACTTACAGCACCCTCATAGGCTGTGTCCAGATGAGCAGGGACACACGCTTGCAGCAGCACAAACAGTAGCAGCATACACTTGTGCCTCTACCTTGTGCCGCAGCACATGCCCTGCAAGTGAGCTTTGTTGTGGGGCACACGCTGTCCTCCTGTGGGACACACTGCTTGTGCCCAGGTCCTCCCAGCTGCTGGCATGCTGCTTCAACTGGACTCCATGTCCTGCAGGGGGGAGGTGGGACATGAGGAGGACCTAGATCTGGGGAGGGGGAAGGGGGATTGGCTGGGGCACAGGGTACCTCAGGGTACCTCAGTGTGGGACTGGCCAGCAGTGCACAGAGATGCCTTCGCGCTTGTCCTGGTGCACACTATTTTGGCATGCTTTGAACCACTTTTTTTTCCAGGGTTTTTTTGCTACTTGGAAATCCCAACAGCAAATTCTGCCCCTGCACTGCAAATGAACAGCGCCGTGCACGGTTTAACATGTGTGGTTTGTGGCACAACAAAGTGGTTTGTGGCACCACAAATCACACATGCCTACTTGTGGGATGCAGCCATATGGTAGCTAGTTAAGTATTGATATTACTATCAAGCAGATAAGCTGGACAGAGAAAAGTAAAGTGATTTGACCAAGCTGTAGCAGATGTTTATTACCAGTTCTGAGACTTACTAGCTAGAGTACTAGTTCCTTACCCTGCAACCTAAATAAAGGAAACTGCTGTCAATAATATTTGGAATTTTTATACATATGTGTGACTTATTGGATTTGAATGCACACATCATAATCTTCCTATGCATTTAAGCATACATTCAAGGTGGAAAAAGGATCAAACTTTGCAATACTTTTAATGAAAAAAAAATACACTGTTTTATACTAGCTGAGAATCTGGCCCCTTCATAATCCTAATGACCTCAGGGAAACTATGATGTTTTAGATGAGCTGATGATCTGATCTAATATATTTCAGAAGCTGACAAGGCGGGCCAAGTAGCTAGAGGGGGGGATTTTGTGTTCTCATACAAGCAGCTCCAGTCATCTGGTTCCTGCATCAGGTGGGGCTGAGTGTTCTCTGAATCTAAGTGCAAAACCACTAGCAAGGATGATGGGACACTTTGCCCCCAGCTTTTGCTATTCTCTGATCTTCCCCCAGTACAGCTGTAGCACTTGCACATTTTTGTCTCATGTCTCCTCCTTTTCTTCATGGCCATGTAAGTGCATTCTACAAGTGATGCACACAGGGCTCAATACATTTTTCTTTCATGATAATCGTCAGACTGATTCTCATAAATTGTGTTCTAAATCTAGCATTTAATCTACAATTAAATGTTGATCACTAGCTGTGGGGCTAAATTCTGTAGTCCTGATTCAAGTAAAATTTCCCTTAACTTCAATGGGAGTTATATGTTAGAAAGAACCAATAAATTTAGCACTTGTAAATTAAACTAAGAGAAGGAGTGGGAATTTGGAGTGGCAGCAAATGTGTAAAATTGCCAAATGAGGTAATCTCTAGGGAGAACTGAGTAAACTTCTCCATTTTTGCAAATCTGCAAGCTGCATATTCACAACTTTGAAATGAATTCGCTGGAGGATACAGTCTTAGCTTGATGTTCTGTCACCAGCCGTTAAAGAACTTCAGGGATAAAGGGGGGAAAAAAACTTTACAACAAGTTTATTTGAAAAAGAAGACGAAAAACCTGCCATCAATTTTGACAAGGCTACTTTTGTCTCTCTTGTAATAACTAATTATCTAACTAGTGTATGAGATTTCCACAGTAAAATGCAGAGCACTTGAAACCCTTGCCAGGCTAATCAAGATTATTTCCAAAATGCCAAAACAAGAACTTCCTATAATAAATATCTTAGCACATTTACATCTCAAATTAAATATTTTGGAAGAAAAAGACTAGGTATGATGCCAAAACAGAGCTTATTGTATCCTACCCACTTTTTCCCCTTTGCTTTCTTTAGCCTTTTCTTAGAACAAACGCTGATCCAGGTGCAAATGCTCAATTCACAAGGAATGCAGTGAACATAAAATTACTGTAGGTTTGGCTGCTAGTAAATCCCTGCTGTTACTCACCATTGGAAGTTGTGCTGGAGGCAACAGCTTTCTCACTGACATCTGTTCGAGTGGAGCATTTCACTATGGAATTCTCAACTTTCTTCTTCTCAGTAGTGGTAGAGCTATGGGACTGGGCTTCCATGATGACTTCTCATTACTTCAGTTCTCCTTGTACTAATACCTGAATAAAACAATAGAGTCATAAACTTCAAATGCCATAAAAAACTTAGTCAAAAACCTGGCACACTTCTCACCTGAAGAAGAGCCTGCAGCACATCAGCATTAGTAATCCACAAGCCATTTCATGAAGCCTTTCAAATCAGGTTTGCATGCATGAATTCCTGAGGAATTTAAGGAAACACTAGTACTGAAGAGAAGCACATTTTGTGTGACATTCAGGTTCTTTTTGTTAGAAAACCTTGTAAGATTTTAATAGACCTGTGTAAGAAAGCCAGCATTTTTTCCAGCTGTCCTGAACACTTTGGAACCACACTGCAGAATTCAGACTGACCATTATGTTAGCTGGTGAAGCCAAATATTTAAGCTTCAAGAGTCACACTCTCTCTAAAATAGCAATGAGAAATACATCTTTGGGGTCCATCTTGCCCCGCTCACGTAAACATCTCTCATTTTTGTTCTAAAAATGTAACTCAAAAAAGCATATTGGAACAACATCCTAAAAACCTCAGCAAAAAGCAAATATTATTGCTAGAGACAGTTAACGGGATCACTTTCTTTGCATGACAACACTGAAAATGAAAAAGCCTGCAAAAAACACGTTTGGTTATTCTGCCTTTCACCAATTACTTTTAGCGTAATCTGCATGAACTCCTTGTTCATTCTTTTTAATCCTTGAGATCATTTCTCCTTATTCCAAGAGCTTTTGAAAAAAATGACACAAACCTAAGAAAGCACCCCTCAGTTATCCACAGGGTAAGATACTCTATGCAGCAGTGTATCTACTTTGAGGTACCGAGAAGCAGAGAGTGATTCTGGCCTGTACAAGAACATACTTATTTTTCAGAATCTCATCTGCAGTTTAACTTGGCACAAAATTCCCCTATAGTAAGCCTTATACAAATAATCAATATTCAACATGCACAGTTCTTAATCACAAAGTAGTACACAAATACTTCCTAGTATCTCTAACAGCTAATCCTAGTTCTCACAAAAAATACAAATAAAATACCAAACCTTACTATGACAGACACTACAAAACAATTCACAATAAAGCCCATATAGAAATTTAATTGCATTGTTTGCTGTATAAATATTAACCATATTAACCAGTTTCCCCAATTTAGACTGGACCACAGTCAACAAGTAAACCTTTCATCCTCCCACACCAAATGCACCTCAAAAGGGGTGCCAATATGGCAGTAGTAATTAGTCACAACACTAACAGGCTACATCCTAGCCTCTCAGGATCATCGAAGAGTAGGCCTGGAAGGGACCTCAGGAGATCATCTAGTCCAACCCCTTAATCAATTTAGGATCATCTCTGTCTAATCCTCTTGAAGTCAGGCTCTAATAAGAACTTCATAGGTGAAAATTTCAAGATCTCTCGCATATTTTCTCTCTCTCTTTTCTTGTCTGCTTCTTTGAATAAGGTTAGTCCACACTTCAATTACCATGCCTTTTTAAGTCAATATATAAGACAATTCTACAGTATATTTCTTGTACTCTTTTCACCCTTGTTTTAAGTGAGTTAAGGGAAACCAAGGACCCTGCCATACATGCATAAAAAAGTGTTGTGGGATCTGATGCATGATCCACACAGTTATGCTTCCTGCCATAACACATGTGCATGGCAGGAGGTGGGACTGTGGGATCACACAACAAATCCAATCACACCTTATTGCCCGTGCAGGGGAAGCCTGAGATCATGATCCTGGGCTTCCCCCTGCACCATCAAGTAGCGAGCTCCCATAGCTGGGAGTCTGGGTCAGCTGACGGGCCTTCCAGCTATGGGAGTACATGATGTAGTCCTGGGGCTGGAAGCACCATCAACTGATGGGGCTCCCGGCTGAAGGAGCTCCCAGTCATACAGGTGTACCTAAGCACATGTCCAATTAATGGCATGATATGAACCAGCCATGAAGTTATTACACATTTTTCATAATAACTTTTGGCTTATTCCTAATTTTATCACACCATTAATTGATTGAGCATGAGGCCGGGTCACAACTTAAGATGTGAGTAAGTGTGACATGTGGTGGGGCCTAACTTTCATACAGTTTCTGAAGAGGCTTAGAAAGCTATGAGTTATTTTTCCTGTATTCTATCTTTTAAAGACCATATCTTCCAGTTATGGAATATTCTGACTAACTCGTATTTGTTGAAATACAGGCAAAAGAGGAACAAAGGCAGTATTTGGCCTTTGTTTTCTGATATTGAATACTCAAACATGGGTGTCACATGCTTATTATATATGAAGAGGAACAAAATAATTAAAAAGCTGTTCTGTTAGAAATGAAGATGACACACTTTCTGCCATAGTTACATGGAACCAGGTGGACAGAAGAACCACCTAAATAAAAGGTCAGAAAATGAAAAAAGAAGACTAATCTCCTTCAGCTTTACTTATTCCCAGTAAATATGAGGTATGAATCTTCCTCTTCACCTGTTCTGTCTGGTCATGGCTGTACAAGTATGACAGTCATTATCTTACCATCTGAGTCCAATACAAAAGATGGGTCAATGCAGCAGTTGATAACATCCCTACATGGAGCATTAGGTTGCCGCATGTTTCTTTAGATGCTCTACAACTGAGGGAGCCTGGGACAGGACCTATTTTTGTCTAGTCTTTTCACAGGTCAACTGCATGCGGAGAAGGAGGTTGTGGGGGGCAGGGGGTAATTATTGTTGCCTCTCTTATTTTGTAATTAATTTAGTCTAAAGCTTTTCTTACCACAGCTTTCTGTGGTTCTTTGCTGTTCACTGCCCCATTGAGTGGTTGATGATACAAAGCAAGGCAAACCAAGTTATCAACTTATTATTTTAGAGAACACTTTGGTCAGAAAATTACAAAATTGGCAATTTGCTAATATAAATATCTGCTCCTGGTGCATGTTCTGAGTCATATCTTTTCAGTTTACATATGGAGGTCTATTTTTATTTCTGTCACCACTGCAGATGCAGTATCACTGCAGATAAACATTTCTATTTTATTCTGCCTCTTTCTTACAGGCCTCTCCTTCTACCACCACCTTCATTATATCCAATACACACAGACGTTCCAATAAAATAACTTAAGAGTTCTACATGCTGAGGGCTTTGCTGCATCAGGACTCCATTTTTAATTAAATTCTGGTTGTTTGCAAAAATTGTTGATGTGCTTGGCAGAAATATTAGACAGACTGTAATAATAGTAGAGGGAGTTTGCAAGAGCAACCACTAAAAAAAAAAGAAAAAAAAGACTTTGACATGTTAGCCAAGCAAATCTGATACGGATGTCATCAACTGAAAATACATAAGGTCACTTTTAGAGTACCATATTTATTTTAAATTGATGACAAATATCAGAGACTTGCACTTCTGCCTGTGGCTTTATAAGGGGCCAGAATGTGATATCAGTATGAGTTGTGGGGACTTAAGATGTTTAGGTTCCCTCTCCTTAAACTCAGGTGTAATTTTTCCCTTCAGAAAAACATAATGAAATATGTAAGGCCATCTATACACGTGCTCTGAGCTGGACGGTTTCATTAGAGTGGTTCTGAAAGCCTTTCTTATTAAAGTGCCCACAGTGTCATGTGTTTTCAGTGTCCTGCACTTCAGAATGGTGGGAGGGGCATTATAACTAAAGTTTGTTTGATGAACTTTAGTTACAGTGCCCCCACTGCCACTTTGAAATGCAGGGATGCTGAATACATGTGATGCAGAGGCTGCTGGAGCATGCTAATCAGCACTCTCCAACAGACTTGATTAATCGAGTCCTCTGCAAAGTGTGCTAACACGCATCAGAGCAGAGGTCTGTCACATGTATAGGTGCTCTAAAATTACTGTCTATTAAAAAAATAGTTAAAGGCCCAGGACAAAGTGAAGTTTTATTTCTACCAGCAGTTAATCACCAGTAGAAAGTTTTCTGACAAAAGGCCAGGCTGCAGTAGTTTTCACTCATAAAACATTATGTGATTTATTTTTTTAGTGTCTACAACCCTCTCTGCATTTGGGTCAGTTAACTGACCCAAAAACATTACATATATATTCTGCAGCAGCAACTCTACATTCAGATTCTGGAAAGCTGGTTTCTGCTAGCTGTCTTCTATCTGCATGTGCCTGAGAATGACAACAGCAACCAGGGGGAAATGCTACAAGACTACATGGTTAAAGCTTAAACTTTCATAGGTAAATAAAGGGATAAACATTCCTTCCTGAAAGCAAACATTCATGGCTTTTTACCATTCAACCATGCTTGAACCTTTTGTAATTCTCCCGCAGGCCTGAATCCATGGCACAATTAATTCTAGATCTCCATTTTAAACATAATCCCTCTCATACCAGCAACCTGCCTGCAGGTGTGTGTCTTCTTTTTAAATCATAAATCCAAACTTTTACCAATTTCATATTCAGTTAGAAAGATTGTAAAAAAAGGATGCCAGTAATAAACTAATTAAAAGAGGAAAACCATCACTTGAATTTGAATATCAACAAATTATAAAGCCTATTTCCTATAATAAAATTCACTGACTTTTCCAAGCAACATAAAATCATATAATTACCTGTGTATATGTATTATAGTCAAATCATTGTAAAAATGGCTTTCATAATAGTTAAATAGTCATATTCATAGCACCAGGGCAGAATCTCCCTTCTCCCCTCACTTGCATTGATTTCATCCCACTGAAATCAATGGAGTGGCACTATTTTAACAGAAGACAATTTGGACCTTAATAAGCATATTTAGTTGAACTTCTCAAAACTTAACTTCTTTTCTTTTTGCCCTCTCAGAATTATTAGTTCTAAGGGATAGATATTGCAAAAGCCTTTATTCATTCAAATATCTTACAGCAAACAGTTTTACTGACCTCAACAGGACTATTTACCCAAGTACGGCATTGCAGGATCTTGATTCGTGTATAAATTGCTTTATGTTTCCTATGAGCTTTAACAGCCTTCCGCCTCCTTTTGATATCTTCTCTCTTTTTTTTTTGTGGATGGTCTTTTAATATATTGTCTCTT